CCTCTACGATGAAATCTTAAACTATAATCCATAAGTGTCCCTCAAGGGACATTGAATATAAGTTGTTTATTTTGGCCCAAAGTATACATACATATATATATATGTAAGAGTTGTTTATTAATGATTTTTCACCTTATTTTCTCAATTATTATTCTCTTTTCAAATATTTGGGGAACCACGAAGTTCTCCATAGATAAGGTCAAATTAATACAGCAAAGAAGTTGCTAGAAAGTTCCCGCTTTACGATTTTTGGGCACGTTAATAGAAGTTTCAATGTAGTGAATAAAATTGGTCATCTAGATATGAGCTGCATGTTTACCACACTCCATGCCCTAAGAAAGCAGGTATTATGTTAATTATTTAGTCAAGGATTTGTTTTTTCCTTTTGCACTTCCGAACCGATAATTAGTCAAAGATTCTAACTTTTAGGTGCTTCAGTCTCAGACTAAGATGCAGTTGTTGTGCAGTTTTCCTACTTATATAGTGAAGGGACTTGTATTCTAGATAGTGTCAAGTAGGAGCCACTCGTGTTCTCATGTTCAAGCTCGTATCTTTTACAATGAGGAAAATAAATTAACCAATTGTATCAACCTTAAATTTATGGTAATTACTGTTTATTAAACTTAAAAGAAAGAAGGTCTCAAAAATAGATCAAAGAAAACTTCCATTTGCAATAGGAAGGTGCATTTATCTTGCATATAATGTAGCATTATTTCATTTTTCTTCAAAAGAGAGAAAGAGAGAGAGAGAGAGAGAGGCATACGATTTTTGTATCATGCACTTTATGATGGTTGAAGAATATAAAGCAAATATGGGTGAAGTTGGTAACATCATAATTGCAGGTTAATATGAGAAAAGTTTGGTAGTAGTCCAACCCTAGAATACCCAAAAGGACATGATTAATTGCCATCAAACTAGAGCTGGTCATGGTCATGGTCAGTGGTTAGACCTCCTTATCATATTCCAACTGTTAGAAGATTTGTCAATTATGTAAGGAAAGAAAATTTTAAAACAGATAATACATATATAGAGAGAGAGCAGAAATATCCTGTCATATCAATGTAAAATTAATTAAGTATTTTTAATCATTCCTTTGATAACGAGTAAATTTTAACTAATAAATATATATTAAAAATAGTTTTTTTGATCAATATAATTAGAATATTGAATAGATATAAAACTTTAAGTACATGACCATACAAGTAAATTCCTTTCCATAATTATCCATATACAGAGATGCAGTTTTGATGTTAGATGGAGATGTGGGCTTGCAAATGTTGCCGACTCTTACTTGTGGAAATGCAATATCAGGGAGGGTGGTGAACAAGCACTGAGCAAATCATGTTTAATTGCGACCCCAGTTTGCACATAAAAAGACAAACCAGAACACGGAGACTTGATGGGTTACATCAGCATCATCATCAATCATCAACCATCACAAAAACATGGGAGGGTCCACCGCCACCGTTGGATTTAAATGAAGGAGTCAAAGCTTGACCATTGACTCGACTGGGCCACTCTTCCCGTTTTGACCCTCTGACTTAGTTCATTTATTTCTTCCTTGATGGGGCTGAACTGAATTTTTGTACCCGTTTTGTTAGGGGGAGAGAGCTGTCAGCCTCTGAGAGTAAATAAGGAAGCAGGCATCTCGTGAATCATATCCGTTACAGTCTCTGCAACTCGTTGACTCTCGTAAATGCACTGACTCAGACAGACTCTCACTCCCATCCACACTGTTCTGTCCTTTCTCACTCTGCATGTGCACAATTCCTTTCCTGGATTCCGTAGCTTCTCGCCGAGATAACTTTTGCTTAAAAACTTTTTTCGAGTGCTAGGGCGGAAGAACACGTGAACATTTGTAACAACAACAAAAGGTCAAAGAGAGTCAGACACAGAAAAAGGAAGCAAACGACTGACAGTCTGGCCGTTGCGGTGGTATTTAATAACATTTGCCCAGACCGACCTTTCTACCGTAGCTTATTCTTATCAGGCCACATCACTACTTTTGGTTATTTACATGCCAATTTTATAAAAATAAATAATTACAGATCATTTGTCAAATATTACATGTTTATTATTAAGGTATAATTAAATAAATTCTTATATGAACATGAGGCAACCTTATGGAGCTCAAAAAGATCAGTGTCGGTTCTAGGGTAGTAATTTATAAATCAACAGAACATTATCTTATACACCAGTGATAAATTTTTTAAATTTTCCGAGTGAGTTTATCTGGCTGTCACATTTCCTTTTATGGTCTGTTTAAGGAAGTCCAATTGATTAATATAATTAGTTGCACTAGACAAATGGCAGTTGTATATAAATTTGTTTGTGAAATTCAAAAGCTCCATTGTTGATGTTTGCAATAATAATCCTAAACCAAACCAAAAGATAAGAAGCAAAATTATTAATTAATTGATTAAAAATTAAGAAATAATTAAAACAAGACATCAATCATAAAATAATTAATTTATATAGATAACATTTTATTTCTCTAAAAGAATTACATTTAATCCTCTACCATCGGTGCATAGTACTGACAATCTCCAAGCCCTCTGTGAAGTCCTAAAACTCCAATCGCCGTACCAAAAAAATGTTCCTATTCGCCATCAAATGTTAGGATATTTGCCATCAAATGCCCAATTCCCTATGTTCTTCTGTTGGTATGTAGCCCACTTCATACAACATTGAGCGGATCTTGTCTTGCGTTTTGGGAGGTTAATCCCGCTGGAAGAAAAGGAATAAAATTACGCTTTAATTCTAGTCAATTTTGGATAACAACCCAGGGATAAATACTAAATTTGTTACTATAATACGACTTGGTATTGAATTTTTTCCACTAATTGGTTTCAAGATATCGACCTTTGGACAAGTCATAACAAGGAATTGTTATAATTTCCCTTTTTTTAATGTTTTTCTTATTAATTTTTTAGATTTATATTTGATATAGTGACAATATATATCTTCTATAAATTATCAGGGTGTAAGATGATGTCATTTCACCTAAAAACTAATATCAGGGTATAATTAAATAAATTAATATAATTCTTATATAGATATGAGGCACCCTTATGGACATGTTTTTGGAGTTTAAAAAAAAAAGTCAATGTCGGTTATAGGATAATATTTTAGAAATCAATAAAAAACTATCTCACACACCACAAATTCACAAGCGAATTTATATGAATGTAGCATGTCTTTTTATGGTTTGATTAAGGAAATCAATGAATTAATGTAATTATTAGACAGACAAATGGCAGTTGTTATATAAATTCATTTGTGTAATTCAAAAACTCCATTTTTTGATGTTTAGAATAATAATCCTAGAGCAAACCGAAAGATGAGAAGAAAAATTATTAATTAATTGATTAAAAATGAAGAAATAATTAAAACATGACGTCCATCATAAAATAATTAATCTCTATGCCCTTTGTGAAGTTTCAAGACCAAATCAAAGCTATCCATTCATTGAAAGTGCTACTTCTTTTTGTTGTGATCTGAGACTGGCAGTCCATGCGAAACCCAATGCAAATTCAGGCCTCACCAACCAATTAGGTCCGACTTCTAAACCCTCAGCGGCTCAAAAGTTATGATATTTGCATGGGCGGGCTTTGCTGAGGCCCAACCTTATTTATTTTGTTGGATGTGGCCCACTTCATATAACTTGGAGCTGCCTAGCAGGGAAGCTGATCCCGCTGGGTTCAAACCCAGAGAAAAAACCAAGGGATTAATACTATATTATAACTTGGTATTGAATTTTATTATTTTTATTTTAATCATATTTAATTTTTACTATCAATATGTACGAGTTTATGGAAATATTTATAATTTCCTGTTAACTCTTTTGCCATTCCGGTTGACCATCAAACTTTCTACTCATACCCAAAAAATGCTAAAATAATTTTTCTAAGAGCCCATTTTCGCAAACACATGGACCCCAAATAAAAACTAAAACTCAGCCACTAATTCATATATCATTAAATTTGATCTGTTCTTAGATCCCTTGAGTCGTCCACTTGTCATTGGCAAGCGTTTCTTCGAGAAAATTTTGGTAAGAGTCAACATTCAATGGCACGTCTTATGATTTTAATTTTTCACACAAATTTAATTAGCAACATGTATTTAGACTTTGTTCTCGTAAGAACTAAGACAATTAATTATATCCATTAATAAGATAGTTATTGAATTGAGTATATTTTGATAATTTTATTGAGTGAAATTAACAAGTAAAGCTCTTCTTACAGCTCAACAAGGTACTAATTGAAACAAAAAAAAAAACCAAATTAGAAGATGTTGTGAAAAAAGTTAAAATTATAAAGAATGTGAGTAAAATTTACTCTAAAAAACTAATCATTACCCCTTCCTCCATAAACAAAAACTTCCTTCATACAAACATCCTTTTTCTTGCACAAACATAACTATTTTCTATAATAAAAATTGGAAAACAACTTTAGAAAATGAAAAGAATTTAAATGGAGAATGGAAAATAAAAATAAATTAAAATAGTTTGAATTATTAGATTTGGGTCGTGAGTGAGGTGAAAATTGGTATTAACAAAAAAATGCATATTAATTTCTAACCCCATCAATAGATTTTTCAGCAAAAGCAAATAGACCATTTGAAAATTGATACTTACATCAGAAGTTTTTGACAATTCAATGCTTGGTTCTTCCTACAATTTCAATTTTAATAATTTATTATTATGATACAAAAAAAAAAAAAAAAGAGCTTGGAAATACCTTTAAGTGGCACCAGTGTTATATCCTACCAAGATACTACATTTTTACAAAGATATGTACTTTCAATTTATTTAATTTTCTAACCCGCGATGAGTCATGGAAAAATAATTGTGCTAACAAGCAAGGCAACAAAAGCTAATATGCTTACCTAGCCTCCAACCCTTTTTTTATAAGGTATCTTTTTGGTCCCAGAACTTCCAATTGTTTCTGTCTGATCCTCAACCCTAATATATGAATCTATTTTAATCCACTCCGTCCATGTGGCATTTTTTTTTCTTTTATATGAAATTTCAAAATATGCAACAATGTGCCACGTGAATGCTTACGTGTCAATTTCATTAGTTTCAATGGAAAATAAAACCATATAGTAAGGTTAAGGAGCAAATTGGTACAATTTGAAGTTCAAGAAATCAAAATGACACCTTATAATAAGTTGAGGGACTGCGGTTGCATTTAACTCCTTGCTTACCACTCATAAGTCACCTGAAGCATTTGTTTACAGAAGAGCATCCCCTACACTAGAAACCTGCTAGAATTTATAATAGGATAGTTAATAGGACAATAATCATGAAGTTCAATGATAAAGCAACAGAGGAAAGAAGAAAAAAGGACAGCATTATGATACAAGTGTAACATCTATGTTCATGGTAGTAAATAGACAAGGTTCATAAGCTGATGATAAATTACCAAAAACAAAAAGGAATAATTTGCTCATGGCTTCAAAACATTTATGGAAAACAAAAAGAAGCAAGAATTGTAGCTGCAAAGTCCTTATCCAGAGGGATATGAGTAGCAATAGCAATAAAAAAGTGAAAAAGATATGACAATAATCTTAAAAAGAGCCAACTATATTGAATATGAATTTAGCACCTACCTAGATATCTACTAAGATTACCTTTTCGATTTTGCAGTATCCAGCTCGAACCAATAACAACAACACACCAAATCAGAATAGTTATTTGGACTCATTCTCAGAAAGCTGTCTTCTTAGATCCTTAAGAGCATCAACAACTTCAGAATTGAGATTGTGCTTTAACAATTTACCTTGAAAAGAACTAGACCTGTAAAAGGAAGAAGATGAATCAAAAACATTTTGTATCAAAGCTGCACAACACACTTCATCAAACAATCACCCAACATCCACACTCTAAGTTGAATCTTGAGCCAATTATTGCTCTAACTTTGGTACGTTCAACTAGCATAATTTAGGCTGTTATTCTTAACTTTAGAGAGTAACAGACATGAATCACTTTGTTCCTTTCCAGGTGTAAAGTTTTTACTTACCTCTGTTTTCAATATACCATGAAATTTCAAAAAAAAA